CACCTCCCCCCTCCCCCCCCACACCCCGCTTTCCCTGAGACAGACACCATGCTACAAAGCAGGCTAAGCCATTCTGTGTCTGAGGTGAAACGTTTTAATTACTGGCATGTAATTAAATGAGTTGAGTGAGAGCCGGATCCATAAGCCCTTTAGAAGGAAAATGTGAATCTACCAGGAACTCAGGATTCTTGGCTGTGGCAGAGATGTTCATAAAGCTAGCTCTTAATTTGTAAATAGGCTCCATGGAGCTGTCCCTGTAAGCAGAACTTACTTTCCCTAACACAAGTTCTTAAAAAGGAAAGAAAGAAAAGGTCCCTGGTCGCTGCAGATGACAATTTGTGTGCACGCTTTGGCAAGACCAAACCACCTTCCTGTTCTTTGTTCCTCCACAGGGTCTCCTCACGTTCATGACTCAGTGGCTGAAGGAAAAACTTAACGCACTTACATTTTCACGCCAAAGAGATATGAAACACATTTTCACGTGTGGTCCCTTCTGCCTGATGCCCACACGTCAGGAGGTTTAAAAATAACCTGTGGTTACTGAATAATCGTGTATCAAAACCGGGAGGGACCATCAAGAAGGTCTAAATCCAACTCTTATTTTATGGTTGAGGAAAGTTAGCTTTTAGAGTTAAATGATTTGTACAAAAGCACACCACACACTAATTAGTAGCAGATATAAGCTTGGCACACTCATTTGGTGACCTCTATTCCAGATCTTCTTGATGTCTTGGTGTCTGGCCTGTAGTGACAAAGCTGGCTGGTCCATCTACAGAACAAGACAGACTTCCAAGACTCTCAGTGGGATGTGGCAGTTCCAATTTAAGGTAGCAAAATCCCCAAACCCTGATGGTGATCATGTCTAACCCCAGTACTCAATAGGCCGAGGCAGGAGGATCAGAGTTCTGGCCACCCTCAGCTAGTAGTGAGCTTGAGGCCCATCTAGGCAGCGGGAGACCCTGTTTTAAAAATAAAATAAAAGCCACACAAGTCTAAGCTGACCTCGCAGCCCCTGATCAGAACATCTCTGGTTCCCATCCCTGATCTCACTCCTGTGGGTTGAGGGATGCTAAGCGGTGCATTCTGGGTCCTCTGTGTATGTGCACATGTAAAATCACTTTCAAATGTTCTTTGGGTTTTTCAACCAGTACTCTATGAAGGTGACAAGAACTGCCAACCCATGTGTCCCAACACACACTGCTCTGCCAATCTTTCTCCCCCCTCTTTTCTCTTTCCTTTCTTTCTTTCTTTCTTTCTTTCTTTCTTTCTTTCTTTCTTTCTTTCTTTCTTCCTTTCTCATTTGTCCCCCGGTGCTTTGAGGGTTAAAGTTGGCAAACACTGTACCACTAAGCTATGTCCCCAGCTTTCTCTGCCAATCTCAATCAGAGGAAATAAATACCACAGCCCCTCAGTGGATGACTCTTGGGTGTCAGTGACACTCGGTATTTAAAAGCACCCGTTCCTCTGGTGTAGCATTTTCTTGCAGACAGCTGGCCGAGGCCAGATCACCTCAGATTTTCCCTGGTGATGGGCAGGTGAAGCAGAAGGGTCCTCAGATGGCTTCTGTTTTGTTTTGCTTGTGTGATAGGATGTGAACTGAAGCTCTGATAATAGGCTCTTCCATTACTGGCAGCAGGTACTTACTCTATGGCTGTGTCTTCCTTACTGTTATGGTAGACTGGGATGGGAGGGAGGAGATTAGGTCCTAACCCTTCTGCCTTGTGCTAGTGCCCAAGGGCAAGGGCAGCTGGTCAGCTCTTCCACCATGTGGATCTGGGCATAGGATCAAAAGACTTTTCCACATATGGCTGCTATGTCCCAGTGAATGTCTCCTGCAGCCCATCGAGGACTGTTCCAGTTGGCAACAAGCTCTGCCGGATGGCTGTCTATTGCTACAAAAGATAATGAACCAGATACTTCTTTGGCTTTTAAATCCCATCAAATCCAACTGTTGGGAAAGGAAGGTTTCACAAAGTAATATGATGGCTGTGCAAACAGTCTCCGGTCGAAGACAGTGTTTCCCTGACCTCTTGTGTGACTATGACTGAGTGCTAACATAACTGGGAAGGACTGTGGGTTTGAGTTCAGTCTACTGGGTAAGGCTATCATCAGATGGTGAGCTCGGAGACTGATGCTCACTTCAACATGGCTCTGTGCTCTCCTCTGGCTATGTGAGAGGAGAACTCGTAGCGATCGTGGCTTCGATATCCACACATGTTACACTGGAAAGGATCACGGAAGCCGTGGCACCCCATGTGGATGGTGAACATCACATAATCTAGGAAGAGGACATGGCAGTGGTCACACTGAAACACGTCCATCACCTCCCCTTCTTTGTTGATCACTTTGATGGAGTCTCTCAGACAGATGGGAGGGGGCTTCAGGAGTTCGAAGGAGCGAGGGACCTCCTTCAGGAGTGGCATCCCATTGCGGGCCTGGGGAAGGACCATGTGGCTTTGCTGGTAGACATGATTCTGGCGATCCTCGTGGTTGCTGTCAGTGTCTGTAGAGTCGTGGGCACTATTATTGGGGGACAGACCTCGTTCAGAAGGCAAGGTCTTCTCTGGCAAGAGGATTCTTTTCTTCTCCAGTTCCTGCGGGGCCCCATTGGGCATATCAGCCCGGGTGAGGGCTATAGGGTACATGCTGCTGATGACTGGGACCATCTCAGAGGTGGGAGCAGGTGGAGTCTGGACTAAGGGGCGAAGGGCTTCAGCCCCAAGATAGCTGATGGCATTATTGATGGCTTGGTCCATCATTCGGGTCTGCATTATCTCACTCTCCTTCTCGTACATGTAGCTGGGATTGTAGTTGACATCAAAGCAGTGACGCTTCTCACCTGGAAAGAGTGAGAGGCAAGGTTACCGAAGAAATAGCGGGGAGCAGAGAGGCGGCACAGTTACTTTCCGGAGTCCTCCAGAAGTGAGGGAGGGTAAGCTGTGGTTGCTGCTCACTGGCATACAGCCATGGGGCAGGGAGGGAGAGGGGGGCTCCATTCCACAGGCAGACAGTCTCAGGAGGTGCTATCCACCAGCCACATATGTGAATTGTCTAAATTAAGCCAGTGGATAAAAGAGAGGGGCAAGGAGGTGTCATTAGGAGAAGTTGTGTTGGGAGGTGTGTCTGCTGGAGAAGGGGGGAGGGGCACAGAAAGCACAGACATCAGTACAAGCTGGGATAGGTGGGCTGCACTGAGCAGGGACCTGGGGCTGCCACACTTTCACAATGTGCACTTTAAAGTGTTGCCACTTTCCAAACTGCTATTCGTGGTGGTGCACACCTAAAGTCCCAGCATTTGGGAGGCAGAGGCAGGTGGATCTCTGTGAGTTCAAGGCCAGCCTGGTCTACAGAGTTCCAGGACAGCCAGGGCTGTTACACAGAGAAACCCTGTCTCAAAAAACCAAATTTATTCAGCCTGTAATATTAGGTACTGCAAATAGTAGGGGTCTCAGTGATTAGCCATAGCAGCTTGCGGCTTGGCTCTCTTCTAATTTATTTCCCTTAAGGAAAAAAAAAAAAAAGATAGACAGGGTTTCCTGTATCCCAGGCTAGCCTTGAACTCAATATATAGCTGAAGATGACCTTTAACCCTCTTGATGCCTCCACTTCTTAAATGCTGAGAGCACAGTCATGCACCACCAGGCCTGGTCCTGAGGATGGACCCCTGGGTTTTGTACATTCTAGGCACACACTCTACCAATTGATTGACATCCCAGTGCTAGGAAAGGCTTTTTAACAACTTCTACCCATTTCTTAAAGTGTGTTGCTTTTGGGAGGGGGAGGGAGGCTTGTTTGTAATTGTTTTAAGACGGGGTTTGCTCTATATAGCCCAGTCTGCCCTTTAAATCATTGTCCCCCGCACCGGCCTCCTGAGTGAGAAGACGCAGGCTAAACCATCATGCCTGCCACCTGGTACTGATCTTTGATTGGCAGATGCATCCTTGTTACACCTGGATCCTTAGCACCCATTGCACACCTAACTGAAGAGATTTTCTTGTGGTTGCCCACTCTCATGTCAAACTGCCAAGAAACTCTGAAAACAGCAGCAGCACACACCGAGGGCAGTGTGTTAGGAAAGAGAAGGAGGCTCTCTGGCCCTGGAGCAGGCAGGGAGCGATGGGCACCATGGCTAGGGGACAGAGGAGAGAGTGTGGGAGATGGGACAGTGCTTGATGTGGCTCCTGAGTCACTGTGTTGACTTTGGATCCTGGAGAGGTTTGTCGTCCATGTCCTTCTCTTTTGGATCATTCCCTAGGCATTCCAGGGTTCCAAGTTTGTCAGTGCCTCAAGAGAAGGGTCCAGAAAGGAAAGAAAGCAAACAGCACCCTAAGAAAACACAGGGGTCAGGGGTCAGAGGTCAGGGGACTCAGTGTCTGTTCTTGATCAGTCTCCACTCTAGCAGGACAGAAACAAGATGTTTAGGAAAAACAAAAACAAAAACAAAACAAACCAAAAAAACAACCCAAAATTGGAGCTAAACTATGGTGTGGGTTTTCTGGAAGGACTGTTCATCTACGGAGGCTTGTGATTTTATTCTAAATGCCCCATTTGAGTTTGAATCAGGGGAAGACCTCATATTCTGTTTTTAAAAAATGGTGGTCAGGGAGGCACTGTTGCCGGCTTTTGGGACCCTTTACTTCTACCTCATCTAGCTTCAATAAGAGAAGGAGCTGCCTAGTCTCACTGCAATTTGATATGCAGTGTCTGGGTGATATCCATGGGAGGCCTGCCCTTTTTCTGAAGAGAGGATGAGTAGGTGAGGGTGGGGAGAGGTGGTGGAAGAGATGGACTGGGAGGCGGGGAAGGAGGGAAAACTGCTGTTGGAATGTAAAAACAAAATTTAAAAGGGGGGTACTGTAAGATCTCATGTAGGCAAAATGAGGCCTTTTGGTATCAACTGTATAGTTCAACATTAAGGGGACACAAAACTTTCAGAAGTACTCTGGGGAAGAAATGAATTCTTAGAAAAAATCTAAGTCTTGAGGAGGGTCTTGGTGAACTGGCAGGATCTGGATTGTTCTGTCTGAGGGAGAAGAGAAGATAAAGGCTGAAAGGACATGGGCAGGGAGACAGAGCTGTATAGAGGGTTTCTCAAACGTCACACTGCCTCACACTGTAATGTCCACACACTGGGGTAGCTTCGGTGGTGAGACATGCTTTAGTCACAGGCACTAGTTTGGACTGGTTTCATTCTGGTTCCATCGTCTACTAGTAGTGTGCACTTGTGTGAAATGATCAGTCACTCCTCACAGGGCCACTGGAAAGAACTGAGAACAGCGCCAGCACACACACAGCACCTGGCACATGCCAGCATCTCCTCCCTTCCACCCTTCCATCCATCCTTCCTCCTTCCTCGTTCCTAACATTATTTATTTGTTTTGTGTATAAGGGGGTACACATGTGCGCCACAGCATGCTCGCTGAGGTCAAAGGACAACTTGTGTCAGTTCTCTCAGTCCAGCACATGGGATCTCAGTTTAGAACTCGGGTTGCCAGCTTGACACCAAGTACCCTCATCTGCTGAGCCATCTTACTGACCCTGGTATTCTTTTCTCAGGGATCAAAGTCTATAAATGTCCTGTGTGCTTCTAGGCAGGTTGTATCCTGTATTGTGGGAAAGAAAGATCTGGGGGGGGGGCAAAAAGAAAGAGCTAGGCCTATGATCCCAGCTATTCCTGAAGCTGAGGGGAGAGGATCAGGTTGAAGAGCTGTTTTGGCTACAGAGGGAGTTCAAGATCAGCCTGGGTGACTTGTGAATGTTTTGTCAAAACCGGTCTGGATATAGCTCAATGCAAGTGCGCTTGTCTAGCATGTGTGAGGCCCCAGGTCCAATCTGAGTATCATGATCAAAAGACAACCCTTGAAAACATACAGCAGGGCCAAATGGCAGACACTTTGAATACCGCACAGCTAGTGCCAAATGCCTTTAAGGAAACGAGGCTGTGGTGAATGTAACAGCAATGTGCCAGAACGAGGCTGGAGGCAGAGAGGCCAGCGAGGAGATCCAGTCCATCAGATGCATTTACCTTGTTTCCCCATTATCTCCGGGACATGTTTACTTTCTAAGCTATATCTGAGAGAAAAGAGAAACCAAGGAGAAGAAAAATGCCCTAACATGGCAGCTCACTAGGAAGCGACAGAAATGGATGTTGCCAAAGTAACCATTTCCAGGTCCCTTGATGATGATTGACGGCAGCAATGACACAAAGAACAGACAATCCTGTGTTCACACACGCGCATTCCCCTGGGATGGTGCAGGATTGGTGAAATCCGGTTTCTCGGTGTGGCTGGCCCTGCCAGACTTCCTAAATACCGGGAGATGTCCAATGTCTTTTCATACGACAGGAGAGGCTCTAGGAAGTTTCCAGGGCTGGGTAGGCACATCGCTACCTCCTTTTGTATCATCCTTTCTCCCAGGAGTGTGCTTTGGGATCTCCTTACCCAAGCTTGTGAATTCACAGCCCATGCCACTCACAGCATCTCTCCCCAAACAGCTGGGATGCCACAAGTGGAAAGAGGCAAGGCAGGAGGGGAAAGCAAGTCCCTGGAAGCATGGAAACAGGTGCCTGAGTTGTGTGGTTAGCGCAGGCCATTGTTCAAGGTGGACAGCAGAGCGCCTCAGATCTTCAGGCACACAGGCTCACCCCATCAGATCCCCTCATCTCCCAGTTACCGTAACCTGATCGCTGCAGATGGCTATCAGTCACCTGCAGATCCGATGACTCAATGAGTATGAAACTCCGAAGGGCTAGGCTACGGTAATTTGAAAAGCCAATAGCTCACGTTTCTTTAGTAACACACTCATAAAAAAGGTTAGTCAAACCACAAGAGTATAACTGCTTCCAAGGCGGCTCAGAGCCTCGAGTCCAGATCTAGTCAACTCGAACCACACCTTTGAATGATTCATGATACCAGATTCAGGCGGAACAGAGGTTTTCTTCTGATGAAAACACAAATGGCAACAATGAGTCCTAAATACAGTAGCCCAGCCTGCCTGGTTGGGCCCCTCCTTCCTTAGGAACCTTCTTAAAGATGTTCAACCTACATGTCAGTGATTCTCAGTGAACTCCTGACCACCTGAATTGATGCAGTGGTGGCGGGGAGGGGACAGGGTTGTTGGCTTTGACTGTCAACTTGGAAGCCTAGACTTATAGGTTGGGCATGCGGACTTAGAACTGTCCTCAGGGTCTAGGGTCAAGACCCCCTGTAGAATGCGTTCACTGTGGTCCTTACATTTCACACAGCGCCTTATATATAAGATGCTAATGATAAAACTACTTTTATTGAGGCCCCGCGGTACTGGGTGTTGTGTTAGAGACTTAGCTCACTGACCCACTTCATCAGTCCTTTGGGGTTGATAGCTTTTAAGGTTGGCTGTCATCTCTGGCAGGTGAGGAACTGAGAGTTCCAACAGGGGCTTCCCTTTTCCAAGGTTGTCCATGGTGAATGGAGAACCAGGGCACAACCCAAGAGTCACGTCTCAATACATGCTAGAGGCTTCCTTGCCCATAGTGGCTCAGTCCTCCACAGACAGTGAAATACTCTGCTAGGACAGTTCCCACAGCCACGGCACAGGGCGTTTCGTGGCAACCACTGTGTCACTTTAATCTTTCTTCTCACCACCATCAACATACTAGTAATACTAGGAAATGCTAGTAATTCCAGCTTTCCTCAGGTTGAGATCAGAATCCACACAAATGCTGGGCCTTGCTTATCTGCCTGCCTTTCCCTCCCTCCCTCCCTCCCTTCCTTCCTTCCTTCCATCCAGGATGTGGGGAGCATCCACGATGCAGAGTGGTGGTGTCCGCACAGTGCTTCACCGAGCGCCTGGCACACACGGCACTCGCAAAGCGAGAGCCTTTTGTTGTTCCTTAAGCTCTGGGAAACACACACATCACTGCAACCCTACAGACAAGATGCCACGTTTACACCACTTCTCTACAAGGCAGCATCCTCCACACTGGCTTCACGGAGGAATCAAGTATACTGTGGAAAAGAGAGTGGGGAGAGAAAACTGTGGGACGCTTGGAAGGTGTGCAACAGATAGCATGGGCACATAGACACGCACCCATTATTCAGGTGTCCTTGGAACCAGAGGTGGTGGTGGAGGCAGTCACAGCTACAGCAAGAGGTGGGGATGGGCACAGGGAACCAGGGGCAGGGACACCCGGAAAGGGGAGGAGAACCCGGAAAGGGCCGTGCAGACGTGGGAAAGGGTCCAGAGGAGTGTGAAGAACTGAAGATGGCGCGGCTCGTGGAGGCAAGTCCCTCAGATTTCACTCTACTGGGAGCAACTTAAAGGGGTTTTAGCGTCTGAAGAGGACGGCCAAAAAAAAAAAAAATGATTTGAGCTCCAGAAAAACAGTGCAAACCCAACACTACAGTCAATGGTGGGTGATGGAAATACACGGGTTTCACGTGAAGTCTCTCAGGTCACTTCGGTGTGTTTCTTGCTGCCTCCTATTGTATCTCACAAGTGTTCTCACTCTACTGCAAGCACAGAAGGAAGGAAGGAAGGAAGGAAGGAAGGAAGGGAGGGAGGGAGGGAGGAGCTGGAATTACTAGCATTTCCTAGTGTTCCCTTCAGGAGACAGGAGACAGGCAGCATCAGGAGTGGGGGCAGAGAGTAAACACTCTGGGGGTGACAGGGAGGAGGCCCGACCTGGAGACTATACTGTGTGCTACAGAGTTCTCTGTCATCTGTGACATTCTGATATGTGATAATGCTGCTTGGGTGTCATCTGTCCTTAAGGAACTGTAGGCCAAGACATCTCTTTTCTCAAGGAGACATATTCTGCACCTAGAACAACTGCCTTCGGGACTTCCCTGCCACCAGCTCTCGGGGACCAGACTCTGGCTGCCCGAAGCTCCCACAGAACAGGTGCATGAGCTGCTCTAGTGACTTCCTGGGGAAGGAGGGCCACCCCGGACTGTGGCAGCACCTCAGACCTGGGTCTGGCCCTGCTCTATCTAGCTGTGTTTCTCCTCCGCCCTCCCCCAGTGCTTTGGTGTTCTTTCCTTCCTGAGTCAAAGGGCTTCGCTGGATGTCCCCACATCCTTAAAATGTGTTGACATCATAATGCATGCAGAACCAGGGACACCAAGACTTTGGGAAGGGCTGGGAGAAAAGATGCTTGCTACTCTTTAACAGGTGTTAAAACTGCTTCCTGCTGCTCTGTTAACCAAAGTAGGTGACTTTTCATTCTGTCGCTTCACAGAGAAAGCTGATGGTGCCTGCAGAAGTGTCAAAACCTCACTCACATGTTTACCACCAGTGACAAAAATCTTTTTTTTCATGTTCTTTTTAACACGGGAACTTTCGATAATAAAGTAACACATATTTTATTTTTTTCAAAATGAGATGTGGTGAGTCCCACTCCCAAGGGGAAAAAAAATGAAAACCAGGAAAAAGGAAAGCTCAGAAACAAGTTATGTTTTTCTTCCTAGTGGGAGAGAAATCTGCCCTCTATTTTGGGCCAACTATTTGAGGCTAGCCTGACCCAAAGTATGGCCAAACATTATTTGTAACAGGACAAGACTCAGGTTAGGATGCTAGAAGCAAGTCTGTCTTGTCGTTTGGAAAGAAACCATCTTGATGTAGATAAGAGACACACTGCCCCTGCCAGAGAAGGGGTCAGCTAACCTGAGGGTTCTATTTGACCTTTGCCCTTATGGTTCAAGAGGCCAGGGCAGCCAGGGCTAGTGTGAGAGCTGTGTGTTCACTCTTAGCAAGGATTAAAGGGAGTGACTCATTCTTTACAGCCCACACAGTGCCATTTCCCTGGCGGCAGGAGCCTTTCAGAAAATGGTGTCTTGGAGAGTAAAGGGAGGGGAGAGAAAAAGAGAGGGAGGGGACACCAGTCTGGGCCCCCGATGCTGCGTCCCATATGATGCCATGCCACAGGGGATGTTCTGTTTTCCTTCTGGTGACTCCAGAGCTTTCCAGCACAACGGTTGGCTCAGGTAATTGATCCAAGGAGTCCCCCCCCCCCTTTTTTGGGGTTTTCGAGACAGGGTTTCTCTGTGGCCTTGGAGGCTGTCCTGGAACTAGCTCTTGTAGCCCAGGTTGGTCTGTAACTCACAGAGATCCTCTGCCTCTGCCTCCTGAGTGCTGGGATTAAAGGCGTGCGCCACCAACGCCAGGCTAGGAGTTTCCCTTTTAAATGATTTTTCTTTCTTTCTCTTTTTGGTGTGTGTATGTGCATATCCTGGTGTGTGTGTGTGTGTGTGTGTGTGTGCCTATGTGCAAGTGGAGGTCAGAGGCCCTCCTTGGGTGTCTTCCTTAATCATTTTTCCTCTTATTTTTTGAGACAGTCTTTCACTGAACCTAGAGCTTCCAGTTTGGCTAGAGAGGACGGCCAACTAGATCTGTCTGTCTGCTGATGGTATTACAAAAACTTTTATGTGGGTTCCGAGGGGAGGCGGGGTGAACTATGAATGGATCCTCATGCTTGTGTAGCCCCAACTCCCCCTCTGAGACAGGGTCCCACTATCTGACTCTATCAGGCCCAGAACTCTTTGTGCAGAACAAGAGTTGGTCTGGAACTCACAGAGATCTGTCTGACTCCAGAGAGTCCTAAAAAGAAGAATCTCCTAAGCAAAGGCTTAGAATACGAGTTAATGCTAGATTAGGAGCGTGCCCCAGAACAAGAGTTCCACATGTCTGACAAGAAAACTCTATTTTCTTTCCTGCACCATTGCTGGAGGTTCTGCAGTACGAGGGCAATGGGTGGGAGTGAGTGGACCAAGCTCCCATCCCAATTCCTAGCTCCAAAAATCCATTTAATATATTGTCCTTGGATAGAGGGCATATCAGATGTTAAACTGATAACAGATATTACCCTTGATCTTAGCCAAAAGGCAGAGAAACATCGTTTCTTTGCTTCCTGAGGCAGGCTCTCATGTAGGCTACCCTTGGCGTTGGGAGGATGACCTTGACTTCCAAATCCTTTTCCCTCCACCTCTCAAGGGCTGGAGTTACAGACATAAGTGATACCCTACTCCCACCCCACCCCCAGTTTCTATTTGTATGGTAAATAAATAGACACAAGAACAATGAGCAGGCTGAACGGCACTGCCCTGAGTAAATACATAGATCTGAGGAAATGTAATTAGTTTATTTACAAACTGAGCTCTAATAAATTTTTCCTCAAGGAGGAAGAAAAACCAATTCGACCAACACAAACCTTTAAGGACTGGGAATGCCACCCACTACTAGGGCTTTTACCTTACGTTGTTGAGGGCCCCAGGAGCCGGGAGCCATCCTCAAAAAAAAAAAACCAAAAAAAAAAAAAAAACAACAACAACAACAAAAAACCCCTCAAAACTGGGCACTGGTGTATGGTACAAATGCTCTATCTTCAGAGTCTTGAGAAGAAGCTGTCAGAATTCCACAGTCAGGTTGTTTTAAACACAAGCTGGTTCTGCCTGACATTTCTTTCTTTCTTTCTTTCTTTCTTTCTTTCTTTCTTTCTTTCTTTTTTGTTTTTTTGTTTTTTTGAGACAGGGTTTCTCTGTGTGGCTTTGGAGCCTATCCTGGCACTTGATCTAGAGATCAGGCTGGCCTCAAACTCACCGAGATCTGCCTGCCTTTGCCTCCCGAGTTCTGGGATTAAAGGCGTGCGCCTTCTTAATTGTGCTATATTATCACATACAAAAAAATAAAAATAAAAAATGGGAAAAAAGAAGCCCTAATTTTTCTGGTCCTGAAGCTGCAACTTCAGCTAAAACCAAGACCAAGAGGCAGCTGATACACCCTGTGAGCCCACTGGGCTCTACAGTTAGTTCCAAGTTTAGGATCACAAGACAGCCCTAGATTAACTCCTTGGGACACTAAATGAAACCAAACTGTTGAATATGGGAAAGAAGTCTGTAAGAGGTGGGCAACTGTCAGGGATGAGGGTGGGGATAAGAGAGAGCAGAAAGGAGAGTAACCAGGCACAATCACGAATACGAATTTGTCAAAGAACAGGCTTTACTAATAAACAGAGAGCTAATTCTGCAAAGTTCCCCATCCTGGAGCCCAGAAGATGCAATGGTTCAGAAAAGAGAGAAACTAGACCTTCCAAAGTCCACGTCTGTAGAGCATCCAAAGATGGTCTGAAATCCTACAGTCAGAAACCACTGGACGGCTCTCTGAGGTAACAGCAGAGCCAAGTGGATGTGGACATAGGAAAACATGAAAACAAACAAAACCTACCACAGTAAGTAGGGCTTTGCCTCAGTCATTGGCTTAATCCAATGGGGATAAGGTACCCTCTCTCTTCAGTCTAAGAGCACTGACTAAAACTGGACTGAAACTAAGACTCATGACTTGGATTTCCTCACCCCTCTCTTCCCATGCTCCTCCCACATCAACTTCAGCCATTTCTAGAGGCAAAACAGTCCTCCCGTTAAGATACGCTTATAGAGACAATGACCCAGGCTTTCTTTCGCATTTACCAGTGTCTATCCACACAAGTAAGGTCCAAAGGTACATAGGTAATGCTCCAGTGTCCTGACTGATCTGCGATGTTTAGTCTTTCTGTGGAAGTCACCACATGCCTCCTTGACATGACTCCACAAGGGGAGGTAAAATGATTAGGAGAGGGCAAGCTCCCTAAACTGAAACACATCAGCTTCAGTCTGACATGATTTATTGGTGGGTTCACTGACTGACTGACAGATCTTTTTTTAAAGATAGGGTCTCTCATATAGCCCAGGCTGACACCAAACTCACTATGTGGTGAGGATAGCCTTAAACTCCTGATTCTCTGGCCTCTCCCTCCCAAGTGCTGGGGATGTAGGAAAAATCCACCATACCTTTGGATCACAACTCATTCATCTATCACCACACCCTTTTCTCGTGCAGCCCCAGCTGGTCTGGAACTCACTATGTAGACCAGGGTGGTCTCAAACACATCTACCTGTCTCTGCCTTGTGAGTGCTGAGATTAAAGACATGTGCTACATTTTATTCTTTAAGTGACTAAAAGGACACAAAAGATGTCAGCTAAATAATAAAATAAATAAGCAGAAATACCAACTTCAGTAATTTTGAAATCTATGGGTTTTTTCAATATATAATTCAAATGAACGTCTACTTATAAATTGTTACCTATACCAGAGTAATCTTAGAGTTAAAAGTAGACAGGCACTTGGTAAGTCAGAACTCAGAAGCAGCAAGCAGCTTTACAAAAAGATATTGACAAATTTGAAAATATTATTGGTGCTGAGGAAGGCTTTCGCTCACGTGATTGCTATTTTTGTTCAATACCACCAACTTTCAATTTACAATAAAACTGACACATTCAGCTAAGCTGCTTACAACTACAAATCTATTTCAGATACCATGGTCACAAGTGTGTAAACATCTGGGCGAGTAACGAAATAGCCCCACCATTTGTAAGTCCCCAACACTTTAATGGACATAATTGTCTCTTAGTCATCTCGTTCTGCAGTGGCTTTTGACAATGTGAAAACCAACGACATAAAAACTAACTTCAGCAAGACAAGTGATCAAGTCAAATTGAGTTATTTAAATCCATGTTTTTCTCCAACCACTTTCTGTTAAAGTGAGCTCTCAATCAAATTCAAGAAAATGTGGCAATATGTTAGAACATTAAAAAAAAAAAGTTAGAGCATGCTAACAGAACCAACTTGTAACATATCATTGCAAAATTTTACCAAGATGCTATCTTGAACATTTTACTGGTGTAAGTTGCATAAATCTATGCAACAGATGCTGTTCAGAGCGAAGAGGAAGGAACAGCATCTTTAACACCAGCTCCATCTAAGAAACAGTACCAAATGCTCCCCTGTTTTGTAGCTAAGGCTCCTCAGTTAATATTTTTAATTCTATATACTAGAGCCATCACGATCACCAACCACAAAGAATAAGAACACAATGGAAACCTTGTTTTAACACACTGCACGAGGAAAGGCATTTCAATAAACAGCTACGTTATCTCAGTCAAGTTATCTGCTAGCAGCAGCAAGAAAGGGCCGTGCATCCTTACCAATGAACTTCTGAGGCATTGAACTCTTTCGTTTTGCCACATTGCTTGCTAATCTGTCCAGAACGAGCGCTCTTTCACTTCCCATCTCCGCTTTGATGTGTCTTGCCTCCACACTTGCTAGTTTGGAAGAGAGGGAGAAGAACACATTGGTAAATGGGAGGATGGGAAAGGGAACTCAGCTGGAGAAGCATCCAGGGGTGGAGGCACAGGGTTGTCATTACCTGTTGTTCCCGCTCGGTTTCCTGCCCTGGGTACCTGCTGTGGTCAGTGAGACCGACTCTGGGGCACAGTCAAACCTTGCAGTCTTATGCTGAGATGGGAAAGCCCTACCCATCCCCAGCCAGTATCTTCATTAGCAAGAGGAAGTGTTGAAGAAACAGCTTGGACGTGGTTGGTTGCAAAAAGATAGATAGATGGAGGCCTTTAACCTCAGCAGCCTTCGTTCTGATTCTGAGTAACTGCATGTGACACCTGCATACTGATATAATTCTTCTTAACAACTTTGAAAAAAAAAAAAAAGAGGCACGGTGCCCCAGATTTGCGGCTCTGTTTATGTTAATAGCGCTTTTGAAAATAGATACATTCACCCAGATAGCAAGAAATCTACTCAGTGATTTGGGTATTGAAATACTGAGTCATTTTTTTCTTCACTACGTTTCTCTCGGTTCTTATCTTTCAAATTCCGTTTCTCTGGGTGCTGTGTGTTGCCTCATATGTTCTCCACATCTCCGAGTTGTTTCCTTCAAAGTGTCCCTGAGCCACCGTGTTCTCTTAAGATTAAAGAGCGACTTGTTCATTGCATTTTTATTATATTTCTAATGAAAAGTGAGAATGGGAACTTCGTGAGAATGTGGATTGGTTATCAACCCACAGATAGACATGGGCTGGAGTTCTCAGACCTGGCTGCAAATTAGTATAATCTATTTGCCTGGTGTGCACATAAGAAACACCTATAGGTAGGTTCCCTTTCACTCTGCAGAGGGGCCGGGACAACAGTGCTTCCAAAGCTCCCCAGATGACTTTAAAAGGCAGCTACAACAGGACAAGGTGGCTCACTCCTGTTATCTCAATACTTGGAAGACTGAGGCAAGAGGATTGCCGTGAGTTTGAGACCAGCCTGGGCTACACAGTGAGTTTCAGGCCCTCCTAGGCTACCATGTGAAACTGGGGAAGAGGAGCAGCCAGAATTTCAGCGCACTAGATGAATATAAAAATAGTGCCGATGCACTGAAATAGTAAAGTGGAACAGATATAATTTACTTTGGTACAGCTGCCATAAATATAAGGCCTAGAACTTCAATACTGGAGTCAAGTAAATAATTTTGGTAAAAGACCAAAGAGTAAATACTGTGTATGATCATTTGTAACCATTGTTATTTTTGACACAGAGTCTTTCTGTTACATAGCTCCAAGGCTGGTTTCAAATGCATGATTTTCTTGCTTCAACCTCTCAAGTACTGGGATTACACATTCGAGCTACTGTACTCATGTTGGTGGTAACTATTTTTAAATCTGTGGGACACACAGTCCCTCTCTATATTAGTGCTTTCTGCTCTAACATCTCTTTTAAAATGGAAAAAGTGGACCAGAGCGATATCTCGGCCAGTGACATGCTTGCTATATAAAGGCATGAGTACCTAAATTTGGATCCCCAGGACCCACCTAAAGAGCTCAAGCCTGTAATCCCAGCACTGGGGAAACAGGGACAGTGACATCCTAGAGGCTCGATGGCCAGGCAATCTAGCTGAATCAGCAAGCCCCAGGTTCAATGAGAGATTCTGTTTCAAGAAATAAGGTGGACAGTGATTGAAGGAGACGTTTCAAAGTCAATTTCTGGCCTTCAGGCACACATACACACACAAACGTGGACTCATTCATGTACCACACATATACATATACAAAATAAATAAATAAATAAATAAATAAATAAATAAATAAATAAATCTGAGGTAAAAGCCCTGTATACAAACAGATTAGCGGGGCGTTGGTGTCATACACCCTTAATCCCAGCACTCGAAAGGCAGAGGCAGGTGAATCTCTGTGAGTTCTAGGCCAGCCTGGTCTACATGCTCCAAAGCTACACAGAGAAACCCTGTCTTGGAAAACATGTCTCTGTTCTGTCTGAGAACTTCAGAAAGTCTAAACTAAAAATCCATACATTTCTAATGTGTCTAAGGAAGAAGAAAATATAATTAGTTTAAGAGACTAGAGTTAAAAAGTAAATGATAGCTACAGAATGAGGTATTCCCCAGCCTGTGCATACACAGGTTTGGGAACTGTCTGCACCTGTCCTGTAGTTGAAGAGTTTGAGGTATTTGCCATGTGAAAAGATTTAAATATACAGAATTGTCACATTCCATGATCTGTCAGACACATGTCCAGAAAAAAGGACACTGGCTACCTTTGCAGGAGAGGAATGGCCCAGAAAGATCTTCAGGGTAAGAGAGTCAGGCTGGGCCAGAAAGAGTCAATGCCAGATTAGAAAATGGTCATTCCAAGTATTAATTGTTTTCCACTTTATTACCATCACCAAAAGAACTCTATCTCAGGTGCTACACAATGCAAAGATTTGTGTGGTTTTTTAAAACAGTCATAAAGGAAATCTGTCTCCCAAAGTGAAAACAAATAAGTATTGTGACAATGCCAACATTTCTTGACTTTGGCTTTTGCCAAAAGTAATTCTTGAAGCTGGGTGGTGGTGGCGCATGCCTTTAAACCCAGCACTCGGGAGGTAGAGGCAGGCAGATTTCTGTGAGTTCGAGGCCAGCCTGGTCTACATAGTGAGTTCCAGGACAGCCAAGGCTGCATAGAGAAACCCTGTCTCTAAAAAAGGCAAAAAAAAAAAAAAATCTTGACTCTAAAGTAATGCATCCTTACTTCTGGTCTAGCTGTCAACAACAATTTATGTAAATGAAAATACTATGTTCAGGACCAGGGGCCTAGGCAGCTTCCAGACTCAGTAGAAGTTCTTGAACTTTGGCACTTGATTACAGGACACTGCCACTGAGCAAAGTGGGTCAAATTCTGTTCAGTCCAGAGACAGAGACAGGTTACAATGACCAAGCAGGAAATGATCACACCTTATTATTTCCTTGCACACAAACCACCACCAGATGTGGCACTACCCCAAAGCCCCTTGAGCAGAGATGAAAGACAGCCTGGGATTTGAAGTCAGTTTCTAATACAAGGGATTGCTGGGGTTTTTGTTCTTCCGTTTTCTTAGAAGTAGGGTAAAGGTAGCCATATGTGTACTCTAGGAGTGTCTGAGAGGATTAGAGCCACCACCCCTGTATCTGTTACTGAAATGATTTAGGTTGAAATGAAGATAAAATCACTTGAGAAATTTTTACTTTTGAGCCCACTTTACTACTGTGTTTGTCCATTTTAGTCCCTCCCCTCATGGTCAATTAGTGACCTAGGACCTGCCCTAAGCATGACGCCTCGGTTTTCCACTTATCTCTTAGGACTCAGTGCTTATGTTTTACCAAAGTCACCATCAGCAGCAAGAGTTTTGTGGGCTCACGCAATCAACACCCTCTATGTTTGGGAGGATGCTGATGCATGGACACATTGACCTAAATAACTGTAATTAGGGCATGTCACCTAAATGGCAACCTTTTGAGATAACATCACCTTTTTCATTCCTGGTTACCCACCAAGCTGGTCTTGACAGTCATTTCCAGATAACTCTCACCATGTCAATCAGTGACCAAATGGCTGACATTTAAGAAAGTAACATCAGAGGCACAAGTGAAGGCTTTCCCACTTCCACAGCTCTGCTTAGGGGGAAATGTCTCCTTCAAGAAATCAAGTGGCCCCTCGTTCACTGCACCCTTCCCAGGTCTGTCATTCAGAATGTTGATGCTCAGATCCAGACTCTCCCAACCATGGGAACACACCCCAGGGACTGACTTTACCTTCATAGACTTAACTGCTTTCCAACTGCCAAGTCTAATTTGCAAAAAAATAGGGAACACTTTTATTTTCTTTCCTAGACTTTGTGTCTTTTTTAGCTCTGAACTGTCAGACAGCTGATGAACAAAACCACTGACTGGGCACCTTTTAAACACCAAGTCAGTTGTCAGTTAGCCAAGCTCGGGCCTTGTCTTGAGAGAATACTGAAAAGACAAAAGAGGAGGGAGGCCTTCTGATTTTTGGTCTTCCCTCCACCTTTAGGACTCCACTGTCTCTTCACTTAGTCTAGACTTATTATCTTGATATATGGAGTCTCAGAAATGTAAGTGAAGGAAAACCAGTTTGGCAAGATGGCAAAGGAAGAAGATAATGAGAAATGATGCAATAGGAAACCCATCCGTTCCTAGGTGGTGTTTGGCAGTTTGATGTTGCCAGGGCAGGGGGTGGGGATCTGGGATGCTGGACATTGGCACATTTGATGCCTGAGTGGGCACAGGGGCAGGACTGCAGCTCTGGATCCATTTCCCTTTACGATGTTTGTCTACTATGTAGTAGGTTGTAAGTGTCAATTTTCATTAGCAACAGATTTTAGAGACATTGAAAAAATAATAAAATGTCATTGAAAACCACAATATGAAAAATAATCTATTGCCTTTAATCCCTGCACAATTCTTAACTGTTAACTGCTTCCATGATGCATTTTTTTTAAAATCTCAAAGTAATTGTAGCTTTGACTATATGATTGTGTTTTGCTTTTGTTTTTGCAAAATCCTTCATTAGGGCTTGAAGTGTTAAATGGAGCTTAAAGCAGCCATTGCATCCGGTCTCTTCTATGGTGTGGTCAGCAGCTAATGGAGACAGGAACAAAGTGCAGTCATTGTGCAACAAGATTGTCTAACAACAGATTGCTATCAAAGACAAGGCAGGTTCAAACAAAAAAGTTACATGAAACTGTTGCCCTGTGGAGCAAGTCAAATGAAGACTGTTAGGAATACATACTTGGTTTTTTTTTTTTTTAAACTTTCAGAAGAAAAAGTGTGCTGCATGGGTAAAAATCGAATTTTCTCCTGAAACCCTTGTGCTTTCATAGCACAACTGAAGCAATGAGAAAGAATAAGAAAAAAATAACTCCTAGACTCACAAATAAACATAAGCAATTATTCACTTAGGGCTTTTTATTTTTGACAGGGTCTCTCTATGTAGCTCTGGGGCTGTCTATGTAGAAGCTACATTGTAGACCAAGTTAGCTTTGAACTCACAGAGATCCTCCTGTTTCTGCTTTTCAAGCGATGGGTTTCAAGGTGTGTGCCATCACATTCTGTCTTAGTCACTTATTTTATAAATGTTATTATCAGCAGTAGCATGCTTGTCTAGAATGGTCAAGGCCCTGGGTTTGAGCTTCAGCAATGCAAACAAAAAGTCTTATTATTTCTAGAACTCATGATTACTCACAAAAAGTTTGGCTACAAGTATAATTGGTGGGGATTGTGGCCTCATGAACATTATAAAGATCAAGCAGATAGAGTCTATGGTCATCTGTTGTTTCTTGCGGCCATCTGTACTTCACTAGGCAGCAGGAATACTGTGTCTATGTCACTCATGGCATCTGCTGGGGAGACTGCTGAACGCGAAATGACTCATGTGTCTCCATTGAACACTGTGTTCTTCAGGGGCAGGGGCTTAGCTTTCCCTTGTCTCCTCATATAGGTCACGGCACAAACAGAATTGAACCAGCAATGTCTGAATAAAAGAAAGGACCAGCAAGACAGAAGCCTGTCACTTTGCAGTGGCGCTCGCTGGGAGGCTGGTCTTTACTCCAAGCCCTTTTCATCAGTCCCCTTCCAGGGAGGCCTGCTTTCCAGGACAGACAGCTCTGTCCCTGGCTTGGCTCTCATATCACACTGCAACTTAACTCACTTTTCTTATTTTTGGGACAGGGTCATGCTCTCCTGCCTTCCAACTCAGAATCCTCCTGCCTCATCCTCTTGTTGCCACACTCAGCTGCACTTTGACTTACACATGTGCCTGCTGTATGAGTGTGCCATGCACAGGAACCCTGAAATAGCATTTTAGAAGTGACACGAGGAGTAAATATTCAGAACGTACCACCCTGGGGCTGGGGATACGTATAGCTGCCTGTTTGCCTCATCTGCACAAAGCCCTGGGTTCTCTTCCCAGTATCACATCAAACTGGGCATGGTGGCACATTCTTATAATCCCGGGACAGAGAGAGGTGGAGGCAGAGATCAGAAGTACAAGTTGGTGGGGGAGGGAGATGACTGCACTGGTCAGGCTTGGAAGAGAACACGGTGTCCATACCGGACTCCTAGTCACAGGAAGGAAATAGAAACGAAAACTATAGGAGGAATGGTGTCAGTGATGGATGGGCTTGTGTTAGATCAAAAAATCTTTACGTTTGGATCTTGGAAAAAACGTGTAGGCACTATTTACCCAGAAATACAGTACAGGCATGTGGTATTTACACTTGATTAAGCTGTGACTTTACCCATTTTGTAACCTAAACCCACCATGGCATACTTGTTTTAAAAAAGTCAAAGCCAGGCATGGTGATGCATATGGCAGAGGCAGGGGGGTCTCTGAAAGCATGGGCCAGCCAG